CGGTTTGTCTCCAGCAGTTACTAGTCAGACTGTCTTGTTAAATTTTAGTAGCAGAAGAACTAGGGCATATGTAGGAGACATCTTTACTCATCTACAGTTAGTTCGGAGATGAGCAGAAGAGAGGCTACTGTCTATGCATATTGTCCTCTAAAATCTTATGAAAGCTACTTAGAAAGGGAGATGGGATGTACAAATGAAGTAGAAATGTCTTCACTGTTTTTTCAAAGAGACTGAGGATTTGCAGCAAGTAAGATAACCCTGCCTATTTCAGTATTATCTTTCTCTAAGATTTAACTCTATCCACATATCCTTGAAACAGAAGATTTTTGTTGCCCTTTGAGTACTATTTTAAACATGCACTTGGCTTAACAATACATTTTTTCATGTAATAAAAATTACCTAACTCAAAGGCGCTTGTATTTACATATGCAATTTTTATTCTTCATTGTGTTAAAGAAACCAAACTGATGTTTCTGCTTCAAAGAGCTTTTGGCCAAGAGTCCCTTGGATTTGCGTTTGTTTTCCTAAACAAGTTGATAGGTCTAAAAACCTGTATTCAGTCTAAATTTCACTTATTTTTATGCTGCTTTATAGAAGTTATAGAAAAATATATTATTGGTGAAACTGTTGGCACCTCCTACATGAAACACGTCTTCTACTTCCTAGTAGACTTTCAGTTTTCAGTTGTTTGAAAACACGCTGAATATTTACCATGTGGATGAAATTTTTGCAGACTGTCTGTCTCAAACTGAGTCATGTCTGCATTTTTAGGGCATGAGTCTTTCATACATCCCATCTCAGTGAAAAATCAGGCTTCAGTAGGAAGCTGTGATGGCTCAAGAGGACTTTCTCTTCTTGCTCAGATGGGACAAGTGAATCGAGAGCAAGGATATATCTTTAAAATTCCTTTCTACATCTGTGCGGTGGAAAAGAAAAAAGCATCTATTTCTAGTGCAAAGCAGATAAAATGAAGAAGTTCAGTGATACAGGGACTCTTCTTGGTGGGTAGAATAACCATGGCTGACAATTGGAATTATGAGCTAGTTGGACTGGAAGGGGACTAGACTGGGACAGTGAAATGCTTGGGAAAGGTTCCTCAGGGGGGTTGGGAGCACTGGCAGCAAGTGGAACACTTACGTGGTCCTAGAGGACTTGCTCAAACCAGGAAGGGGCTGTGGACATGGCAACAGTGGGGATGACACCACGGAGAAGGATAGTGGAAAGGGATCTAACATTTCATTAAAGGAATGGGAGCTGGAGCTTTTCAGACAAAAAGATGAGGAAGGATACATGAGGAATCGTTGTTTGTGAAACTGAGACTGGAAAACTGAAGCTGCCTGAGCTGTCTGAGCATGAAAGACTGGCAGAGATAATGGACAGTTGGACTCAATGATCTTAAAGGTCTTTTCCAACCTAACTGATTCTATGATTCTGTGGGAGTAGGTAGGACAGGATTTGTCAAATGAGAGAGACTGACTTGCACATGGAGACAAAACAGCTGAAGAAGGATGTAAGGACCTTTTGAGTAAGGACTCAAAAGTTTGAGACAGCAGGAAAGAAGAGCAAGTAAGGGATAAACAGGGATGGGGAAGAGAGAAGACTGGGATAGAGAGAAATTTGGAGGGAATGGGGTAAAAGGGGCTGAACTCTGAGAGGTTGAGCTTTACTGGGTGACCTTTCTTTCAGTGTCTGGGATGTAGACAGTCCTGTGTTAGATCATTCCAAACTTTCAGTAAAGACTAACTGGCAAACCCATTGAAAAGTGTGCTTTCTTACCATATGCCTTCCATACATAGGTGATAACCTGCTATTGTGATGAGCCTAGCTAAAATAGCAGGGATCTGAAAAAGTTCACCTTGAGGTTTTAAGCATGGTCATGAGTGCCACATAATGACATTTTGGAGAGAAAGAGTATGTTTTTTAGAAAGCAAACAACCACACAAACAGGGAAACCAAATTAAAAGAATTTACTTAGACCACAAAGTCAAGCACTTAGAAGATGAGAGGCATCAATATTTGATTGACTTTGGACTGTGAGTTCATGGCTTTCAGGCATGAATTATGGGACAGCATTCAGTTACAAAATCACAAGCTCTCTTACTAATAGGATTCTTATGTCATTTGTTACACAGTATGGTTATATTGGTCTGGGAGTGGTCCAAGATTATGGAATGGAAAGGCAGCTCTTTTGGCAATCAGGCTTCTTATTTAGGCCGCAAACTTCTATGCACTCATTATTCCTAACTATTGGCTTTGCATCATATGGATGAAGTATCACAGATGTAGTAATTTCCTTATGTGTTTGTAGTGTAGTTATCTTTCTTTGGCTTATATATCAAGTTCACATTAGGCAGTTTTCTATAAAATGCTTTTCAAAGTTTATTTGCAAAAATTAGAATGCACCCTTGTGAAATTTTCATAAGTCTTTTTTAATTATTTAATAAATTATTAAACCAACAATATATTTAGTCAATTCTCTTGTGTAGTTAACTGTTCAGCCGAAATGAACGTTTGAAGCACATACTGCTTAACGTTCTGGCTAAGGATGTGAAATCAATACTGTAAAACACATATCTCTTATAAATGTTCTCTCAGCTAACATTCATTCTTCTTCTCAGCCTTGCCTCATTCCACTACCGATCATAACTAGTATAATTGAGAGCTCATATTTTAGGCTCATGTTGCAATATGATCAGAGGAAAATATATCAGAAGGCTCTCCACATTCTCTTTCCCCCTTGTCCCCCAACTGACATCTGCTGTAGAGCTGGAACAAACTAGTTTCAACCAATCTTTAGCTGTTCCTTATGTGAGCTTTCCATTTGGGAAGAAAGCAGATGCCTAATAAATAATCCCTGACATGAACTAACTGGTACTGAGCCTGCTGAAGTGATTTGCAGCCTATTTATAATGGAATGTTTGATTAAAGTCTGCAAAAATAGTTAATTTAGTTTATATATACAGTATGTGCATGTATATAAGCACACACTGGCAGGCATGTACATACTCTATATACAACCATTATAGGCAGTGATGGAAGATTTTCTTTTTTAAAAACAAGAGATAGATTACATAGTTCAGCAGATATGCTAAGTAAAACCACCACTAAATGTTTCAGCATCAGATATTTGCAATCTCTACAATTTAATCTTCACAAATGTCCTAGAGATACAATTCATTCCTTCTTTTATGTCTATGATGTGTGATAGGACATGACATCTGCTTCCAATTAGAATGTCGTATCAGAGAACATATTCTTCCTTTTGCCATTTTTTTGTTTGTAATAGCTTTTGCACATGGTTCAAAAACTTTAAACAAAGAAACTGCAATATTTATCATTTAGTGAATGTCAGCTGTTGTTATTCTGTGCAATTAAATAAGCACTTATCGTGTGACTTTTTTTTTAGAAGTACAATATTTAAGATTTTATTTTGAGCAAACCTAAACTATTTGCCTTTAATTCAAAAGCAATTTAAAATCAGCTGTGTTTGTAATGTACTTCTGCAAACTTAAAGGCTAAGAAATTTAATATTATTCTGAAAGAAACAAAGTTAAGTTTCAGAGACCTAAAATTAAGTCCACCATTTTTATTGTCTTTGAAGAGCTTGAATATGCTTGCTTTCTAAATTTTCCCACTGATTCTGTTTTAATGAGTAAGCAAAACAGTGAATTTATTAGAAGCACATTCCTAGAGCATTATTTCTTTTCCAAATATTTCTTTAAGTCCAAGCAATTTTGGCAGGAAAACAGTGCATGATACTAGAGATGGAATTTTCTGCTACTTCACCTTTCCTTCTCCTCTGTGGATCATTAGCTGACCTTACCTTAAAATAGTTTTCTTTGTAGGTGACATGGAAATGCCCAAATGAAAAGAAGTTCCCTGAAGATTGTTAGCCTCCATTTAAACCCACATTTGTATTTGCCATGTGTAATGGAGGAAACCCTTGCAGACGTTCTACTAATTCAACTTTATTAGAATTTTTTGTTTGGTTTGTTTTTGTATAAGGAAGCATAAATCAGGTTTCAGTAGCCTTAAAGGATGTTTTGGATCACTCACTGTATGACTGTGGCATGAACTTCCCTGACCCAATTTAACTGACTTAACAAGTGTTCTGTCAGTGAGTCTCCAAGTGGTGAGGATGCCATTAAGAAGCAAAAGCCTTATCTATGATAAATGCAGAACAACAGATACTGGGTTTTAGTATTTACTGGGCAGGGACTTTTAACTGAACAGATCTCTCTACCATGATCCTGGATTTCCTGCTCCCTTGCTTTAGCTGGCTGTCAGCAATTGTCAAGTGAGTCACCACAGAAAACATTTTCCTCGGAAAATCTGCATTTTTAAAAACTGTGGGTGTTAGAGCCTGAGGCTGGTTGGTAGTATTAAGTAAGAGACTGACAGCCCTCCTGGTGTGGGGGAATGGCACAAGGCCAGCACAGCCCAACTCAACTTTCCTAATTGCCCTGGCTTTAGGCCACGCCAGAGGTGAGAAGATGTATTCCCAAGTCAGTGTCAGCAAGCAGCGCACGCCACCTGCTCCCCACAGGACAGGGAGCCAAGCTTGGTAAAAAGGCTGGCAGGGCAGGAGCCAAGCCTTGAGGAAGGGCTCCGTCCTGCAGGCCACAAGGGAGGGAGCAGGGCAGGCCCAGAACCAGCAGCTGGGGCCAGCCCACTGTCCAGGTCTCCAGACAGGCTTGCGGCTTGAGGCACAGGCAGACGCACAGTGATGAAGCCAGGCTGAGGCCAAGCCAGGAGGTTGATCCACAGGTCAGGAAGAGGTCTTGTGATGGTAACCAGGGTCAGATACTGCCCACTGATCAACAGGCAGGACCGTACAGACAAGACTGGCCTGAGGTCAATCTGGGAAGTAGTCCACGGATCAGGGTCTGGATCAATGAGGTCCATGGCCAGGCGCAGGCATGGTTGTGACAGAGCTGTAAACAGGCACACCTACAATCAATCCAGCTCAGGCAGGTTTGAAGGCCCTGCGCTGACCTGAAATGGGGCTCCTGGGCCTGTGGGCAGGGGCGTGGGTGGAGGTCCCAGGTGAGGCTGTTCAGGATCATGAATGCCTGTTAGTGCCCTCAGGGCCCTCAGAGCTAAATTTTGACCAGATCTTGGAGAGCATGGAACTGAAGAGAGAGTTAGGAGCGTTTGGGTAAGACAAGTAGGCAGCAAAAAGGAAGAAAAGTTCTATGTTAAGCTGGGCAACATGAGTGTAAGTCTCAGGGGAAGGAGCAGCTACCTTAGGTAGCCAATCTTGCTGAGATACTTTTCATAAACAGTTTGGAGTCAGCTGGTTACACAGGAACCAGGCTGACCCCCCTTCTTTCCCTGTGTGCCATATGGCACACAGCCTTTTATTTGGAAGGCCCTGGTATGTCTTCCTCCTCTCCCATTTTGCCTTCCCCCAACCCTCACTCCCAGACTCCCCTGACACTCCTGCTTCATTAGATTTTCCCCCTTCATTCCCACGTCTGAGACCTCTGCTCCCTGATCCAGAGTCAGGAGAGTGGGGCTGAGGGATATTCCAAGCTGCTTAGAGCAGCTGCCATCCCAGTCAATTTTATCTGTCTGATTCCAGGTCTATGTGTTCCAACCTCACAGCAGATGTGAGCCATGATGCAGAGCCTGAACTAATAAGTTTGGCAGTTAAGTGGCTTCCACTCCTAGACTTTGACACTGGTACCTCACTAAGTGAATGTGTCTTACCAGGTTAACCTTAACAGAGAAGAATTAGGTCTTCTTTTAACTTATGCCTAGTAGTATACATGAAGGAGTTTGAGCAGCCTTCAGAGGCAGGGAAATTGTTGCTTGCATTTTCTGGTAATAGTCTGTATCAGAACTTCTAATTGGACAACTATGGGAGAGCACACCGACTACTCACCAATATGAACATCATAATGAATTGATTGCTATGTGAAAGACATAATTAATATGAGTCACATGATGTGTGTGAAAGAGGAGAGGAACTTAAATTCCTGAGGTTAGCTGGCTGAAATAACTGCCTTGCTCGATTGGGGCATTAGGACTTGAGTACTGTCTTGGGAAAGCATATTAGCTCATTTGGTTGATAGTAAGAGGCTAGGTTAATATCTGTGGTGTGAGCTAATTTATTCTGATTTTTAAGTGTCTCTGACTTTGTTAGGACTGCATTGCAGACCTACTTTACTGAAATAAGCCATGGGGTTTGTGGGACTGTTAATTAAATTATCTTCTGAACTTTTAGAAGCCTGATCTATATTTTACTAATTATATTTTTTTAATATCTGTATACTAGAATAACCTATGGACATATAATTAGGAACAAGGGCATGGAATTATGGAGGGGAAATTATGCTGCATAATATGAAAAAAAATTTGAAAATTAAAAGTATGGAAAAAAATTTCTTTGTCACATTCCATAAAGCTCAGTGCTTCCTGCAAATGTTTTACTGTTATTTTCCATTCACTGAAATTAGTGTTCGAATATTTCTGTTTTGGTTTTTTTTGTCTTCTCTAGGCTTCTGGGCCCGTGACATAGGTAAGATGATTGGCCTGCAGCACCCTCTCATACCTGTTCATCATCAGTATGTTGTGACATCAACTATTCCTGAAGTGAAAGCCCTAAAAACAGAATTGCCGGTGATTCGTGACTTAGAAGGATCATATTATCTAAGGCAAGAAAGGGATGGTCTTTTATTTGGTCCATATGAAAGCGAGGAGAAGATGAAGCTGCAGGACTCATGGGTAACAAATGGAGTCCCACCAGGTAATCAAGAACATTAAATCTTTAAACTTGATAAGCACTAGCACACATTTTAATGTGTCTAAATCCCAGCCTGTCATGCTGCCTTATGTGATGGAAAATAGAAAATATTTGCCATGCATTATTGCAATGCAGAAATTTTTTCAAAGAATAGTTGTAACTCTAATGATGAGTGAATAGAAATAAAAATGTAACATAAGAAAAAGCCTATTTGAAATAGGCACAAAATGCACATCTACAACATAGTCTTACCCTGCTCTCTGAACACATGCCCATGTGTTGTGACTAGATGCAGCCACCAAATCTGTGTTACGTAGCCTTTTGCAATTGAATAGGGATTTTTCTAAGCTACAGTTCTTTCCAGCATACTCACAGGGGCTCTGGATTTTTGCTGTTCCCCCAGAGATAATGTGGTTGTCAAATAGAAACACAAGTATAGGAAGGGAATGTATTAGACAAAATGCTATGCATGGATATAAATGCAAGAGGGTTAGCAATTTGTATAGAATTTTTGTACAAAAAAATCCTAACTATGTCATGCTGCTGCTTATTAAAAAAAAACATAAAATGCTGTGTTATATCTAGGCTCCAGCTTTCCATTCACTTCTAGACAGAAGGTTATAATAAGTCAATAGTGTTGCTGTTTTAAAAAAAAAAAACACAACATGTTTCCTAAGGAAGAGCAATCAGCATTGCTGGGCTTTGGATTGCACTATCACAGCTTCCTGAACTTAACTGTCTCCAGTAGTGTCAAGTCCCTCTACAGAATGATGTTCAATAATGCTTAAGGTTCAGACTGAAGAGTGAAATATATCCAGGAATTCACTAAACACCATGGAAATCATAAGCTGACACAAGCAATATCTTTCTTCCCCTTCCCAAATTGTTGGCATACTGAGAGAAATAAGTGGGTCTTATTTAACACAGAAGGAAGTTCCTGTGTTTCTCTACTTCCTTTCTACTTCATTGTTGAATTTGCATGACCTTAGGGTTAAACAAATATGTATAAAGGACAGTATAACTGCAGTGACAATAAACTTGATCCTGCAGATAACTAGGGATTTATGCACGCCATTTTTGTCATGTAGGATGGCAAAGGCTTGAACATACTCACTGATGAATTCCATATAACTTTTATATATGTAGATTGCACAACTGTATTTAAAATGTAAGTATTTTCAGTGTAATTGAGTATGTAATAAGAGTCAAATATTTGTGCAGGTTTTGGAAAAGAACTTTTTGAGTCCGATTTAGACAGAATAATGGAACATATTGAGGCTGCTATGGAAATGGTCCCTGTTCTGAAAAAAGCAGACATCGTAAACACAATTGCGGGTCCTATCACCTATTCTCCAGACATTCTTCCTATGGTGGGACCACATCAGGGTGTCAGAAATTACTGGGTAGCTATTGGTTTCGGGTGAGTAAATTCTTCGTGACAGCTTTTGTCTGTCATACTGTTAAAATGGCAGTCAGCTCAAGCTTTGCACATATTTATGGGTTTGAGGGTTGTTTTGCACATATTTTATGTAAAATGTAATTGGGAATAGTCTTAATTACCACTACCCACATAAGAGAAAATAATCCTTCTCTCTTACTTCTTCTTCATAACTCTCACTGTTTTTTAGTTTGTTTCCTCCTCTTATTCTGGAGGGCAATATCCATGACAGTTTATGAAGCAAGAAATGGGTAGTACTTGGTACTGTCTGCAGCAAGTTAGAGTCATGAAAGTGCTGGGTTTTACAATACACTTTCCAGTTCATTTTATGTATTGCTTTGAATTACATTGTGTTCAACAGTTTTTTGGCATACACAGAAATGGGTGTCGCTGAAGTTGGACAAGAATGAGTTGTACAGGGAGATCTTTTAATATGAAGTATTAACTTCTGGGTGACGAGTTGAAGGCGTACTAAGCAGAAGGCTTTGCTGACATACTGGGTGACTGGCTGCTCTAGGGGTACAAACACAGTAATGGTTCTGACTGTTGAAGGTTGAGCTGAAAAATTACATTGCTGGGTGTTAGAGGAAAGCAAATGAAGAGGGCAATGTGACAACAGGAATGAGGGTTTTATTGGTGTCATTCTCCTGCCCATTATGGTATTTTCTCTGAGTGTGATTTACATCTTACATACTCTGGCTGCACTGAAGTCAGTGGTAAAACTCTTACTGATTTCTCTTTAATTGTCTTAGTTTGACCATTTATTCAAGATGGATAGAATGAACTGAATACAATTCCAGGCACATGTTATTGAACACATTCTGTTTACATTGTTTTTCCAATTGCCTAATTTGCTGTTCAAAATCCAGCTCAGCTTTTTCCAGTTTTCTTTCAATCCAAACCAAACAAACCCTCAGATCATTAGATAAGGCAATATCACTAACGTGCTTTCCGAGGTCCTCAAAATAAAAAGGTTTGGTAATTTTGCAATGATTCATTGTGAAAGGTATTCACCTTTGCTGCTTGGATTTAAAAAAAAAAAATTATCTTCTAGTAATATTTGCAAAACTTAGTTACAAAAGTGGTTTGCCTAGTCCTTGTTCACCAAAAAGACTGTTTAAGTTCATTACTCTGCTGCCCGGTTTTGGAGCCTGTATTCCTTCACTGGTGTCAATGGGAGTAGCTTCAAAGTTCCATATAGGAAAAACTGAAGACCAGTGTTATATGTTTAAGTTTCTTTAAACAACTGATTTCAGGAATATGACTAATCTCTAAATGTTTAGACACAGGTTGCAATTATGTTGCTGTCATTGGATTGCTTTTTCTGCTTTTCAGGGACTTTTGACTCTCCGTTCTATGCTTGTGGGTCACTGCAGTGTTTCCACCAGTGTTGTAATTTTTTGTGTGCATTGGCAAATCCTTATCTCATAGTCAACTGGTAGGGACATTGTGACAGAGGACTTAGTGCTGTTAGTTTAGAGGATTTTTATTATCTAAAGTTAGCAGCTTGCTAGGCATTTTAATGTGCAAAGAAGTTAGCAAGTATAGTGAGCAGAGCTTGTAGCACTGTTTATTATTAAGGTTGCTCAATGCTTCCCATTTTCAGTTACTTATAGCTTTGAAAATGTTAACAAGAGTAGGCTAGAATTTTAATCAGAAAAGTTTAAGTCAAAGCAGTGTAACCACTCCAACAAATGAGATTATTGGAAGGTATGTTGTTTTGCTGTGTTAAGTTTATTAGGGTGAAGTCTTTCTTTTGAAAATCTGTAATCACCCTGTTTTCTGAGAATGAATTTAACATTTGGCAGAAGTGAACTTTCTCCCAAAGATATGTGTTTTTGTCATTCTTCACAAAATCTATTGCTGAGGCCTGGTCACAATCTTTTATAAATGTTACAGCTCATAAACACTTAATAGAGACTCACTACATCTTGCACTAGGATTCCTGCATTCTATCTACAGTAGTATTCCACAGCCAGAGACTGAACAGGAGTTTTCCTGCAGAAATGGGATAGAAAAATGACTAAACCTGGGACAAAGACACTAGAAAAGGGAGCATGATGTGCAGGGACTCAGATTTCCTAGGAAAAAGGAATGGAATGGGTAAAAAAATAGTGAGAAGAAAGGGCTCATAAACAAGTAAGACACAAGAATAGGACAGGGGCAATAGGGAAGATAATCTGGCAGAGACTGGAAGGAGAGAAGAAAAACAGAGGGGGGCAGTTTGTGTTTATTAAGGAAATTTTCTCTAAATCGTCATATGAAGACTGAGATTCTTAAACTGTACCACTCTTTACAGCTACTAGTAATATCCTATCCCTGCACAGCATGTGTTTCATTCTTGTATAGCAGAACTGCAGTAGATGCGTTAATACAGTCAGTTCCTCATTATCTAAGGTAATGAGGGATTTGGGCACCCTGTGTGATGTAAAATCTCTGATAATGTAGGCCCAGCTAGGAGCACCAAAATCAACTGGTTGCGCAGAGGCAGTGCTGCAAAGCTGTGCAGAGACCACTCAGCCGAGCTGCAGTCCTGTACCTGGAGTAGCAACTCCACATCGCAGGGCGGCCTCCTGGGCTCTTTCTCCCGGGGTTGCCCTGCCATCAGCTCAGCAGTCTTCAGCTGAAGCTAAAAAACCTCATTGTATTTGGTCTGTTGCCACCCCCAGTCATGCAGTGGTCTCCGTGCTGTGTTTCGGGGTGCTTTTGGCTACAGTGGATGTGTAGGGAGACTTAAACTGGCTAAAACTTCTGGAGCTGTTCTTGAAGGCATTGTAGCCATGGTCACAAAACTTACACCTGTGAATAACCAAGAGCTGCCCAGTTAAATTAACACCAGCAACAGCTAAATCTTCTGCAGTACTTGCAGAGTAGCAGTTTACAAGCACTCATCCTTACTGCATCAGCTGTGGTAATAGAAGCTTGTGCTGAGAGTCTGAAGATTTCTGCTGAACAGCCTAAAGGAGTGTGTTTGGCAGAATTACTTCATGTACTCAGCTGTCTGACATTTCTGTTTTATTTAAATAAATAAATAAATAACAGATAAAACCCCACTACATCAAAGTAATCTAATGAATAGTACGAAGTCAGGCATTCTACAAGTGCCAGAACTAAGTTGTCTGTGTAATCTGAATTAAATCTTCTTATGCATATGCATTAGAATTAAATGATCACATCATTATTTTTTCCATGAGATCCTTGCCTATTTAATTGAGGACATAGTATTCAGTATGCAAAGTTGATGAGCAGCAATTCAGGTTTTTTTTAGCTTCACTATTCAGTGTGAGTGTCTGTGGCTTAACTGATGCATGCTAATCTAAACTTCGTTTTGGACAGACTCACTATTTCTTCAAGGATTTTTCTGTTGTGCTTATTGGAGCATTTCACAAATAATTAAGAATTTATTTTCACATCTCCCTAGAAAGAAACCTATTTTGACACTATTTTTTTTTTTTTTAGATATAGCAAACTAATTCACAGAGGTATTAAAATAAAAAAAGTTTAAAATCATTTGGTATTAATAATTATTGTCATTAAACATTTCAGTGTCAAATCTGAGGTGCCTGTAATTTAGCATTACACTGTACTGTTTGGTCATATGTAGACTGAGTAGCGACATACACATGTGGCAGCACGACAAAGTTCCTTGTCCCCAGTTGTCCAGTTCAAGTATCTTACAGGAGCACATTTCACACACAGCTTTTTCCCTATGGATGTCAAGATGTTAAGCATTTTGGAAGTTAGAATTATGTACAAAATGTTTAAGTGAGGAAACCTTATATCTATCAGTTTCTAACTTTTTTGAGCATCTACTTTTGCTGTCTAGTGTGGTTCCTTTAATGTAGGTTTCTAACAAGAGTTCTCTACAGTCTGATCCTTTACACACTCATTATATGAGTGTGGACACTCACATAAAAGCCTCAGGACAGGCTTTTCCTACAGATTGGTAGCAGAAAATCTCTACATGTTTATTCTGTTAGCATAAGCTTTCTGGAACCAGTTCTTTTTGTAGTTGTAGTGGAGAACAGAGAAGGTAAATCAGGTGAGAAAAGGCAGCTCTCAAACTCTGACACCGCTGCAAACAAGTCTTCTATTTTTGTCCCCAGTGCCTCTACATTCCCTGATTTTCTGTGGAGCAATATAAAAAGTACTGCTGGTATTTAACTTCTTTAAAGCTATCTTGGTCATGTTGTCTCCTGACTTCTGCTGCTGTTGCTCTTGTCACTGTAATGTAAATACTTACTGTAGTTGCTAGAATGTTTAAGTCTGGTTTTCAATTCTGAGTCTGGTTTAATCAAACCTGATTGAAAAAGAAGAGGTATTCTATGACTAGAAAGTATATTTAATGGATATCAGATGTTTGAGAACTTTCTTTAGTATTAATTGTTAGAGAGTTCTAATGTCCCTGGAAAAGATTGTTAAATTCTGAGCTTTAGAGAAAGAAAGAGCTTGCTGTAATCTCAAGCACCACAACTGCTGTACGTTAGCAATGGAGTTCTGCTGCTGACAGTGGGACAGTAAAACTATCTGTCAGTAAAGTATGTAAACTTGGAAAACAAGACAAAATAGAACAAACAAACAAAACAGAGGGAAAATTTTTAAGTACTTTAGGGGTTGTATTAGTAGTATATGCTAGTACTGATTTTAAAACAAAACAAAACAAAAAAGACTTGGCACTGCAGGACTTTTTCCTGTTTTTAAGGTATGGCATTATACATGCTGGTGGCATAGGAAAGTACCTCAGTGACTGGATCCTTGAGGGGGAACCTCTATTTGACCTGATAGAATTAGATCCCAACCGCTATGGAAAGTGGACCACCACAGAATATACAGCAGCCAAAGCAAGAGAATCTTACGGTTTTAATAACATTGGTAAGAAGGTTTTTTTAAAATATGTTTATATCCTGAAAATGGATTCCAGCAAAGCCTGCCTCTAGATTTCTCTGTCTATATACATGTGTTCTATCTTGGTGATGACCTTAGTATGCTGTAGTTTTTGGTTTGGGTTTTTTTTTTCCCCTTTAGTTGGTTACCCTAAAGAAGAAAGATTTGCTGGGAGACCAACAGAGAGAACCAGTGGTCTGTATGATTTGCTGAAGTCAAAATGTTCGATGGGCTTTCATGCGGGATGGGAGCAACCTCATTGGTTCTACAAACCTGGAGATGAGACTGGATACAAGTAAATGAAAGATTACACACACAACACACACACACACCCCCCCCGAGACAAATTGTCATAATAGCAAGGGCCAGCTGAGTTAAATTTAATGAGAAGCATACACTTATTATTCATTTTGGCTAATGGTATCTATTAGGTAGATCTTCCATTCTTTTTTTTTCCGTAGTTTAGAATCCATTTCATTCTGATAATGCAGACATTTCAAAACATTTCAAAAAGCTCGTTCCTCTCCGTATAATTCTCAGGAAAGGAGAAGTCCAATCCTCCTTTCTTTTTTTTTTTCTTCTCAGTGCCTGCCCACCTAGTTACCTGCTTGCATCAGGGCGCATCCAGCAAATAAATGTTATTCACAAGGATACTGGAGTCCCAATCTAAATGAGGCTCATAAAGGAATAGAGACACACTTTGCTATTCAGAAATAAAGCCTTGGACACCTTAAACTCAAATAAATGATTCAGCAACAAAGTATGCTGTAAATTTACACAACAGACTACTACTTCTTCTAACATTTGAACAGTTCACAGTTTATCATGCAAAATGGTTGATAAAATATCACCCATATCTTTCTCTGTTGTTAAAGGATTTTAATAATTAAGCTATGTTAGACCAAGGAAAATATTGGGTAAGCTACCTACAATTAGGAAAGTCTATCTCTTTTGAATGATTATTAAACTGAAGAAACTGAAGACTACCTTTTGCTGAAAAGAGCACAAAATTTCCAAATTGTGTTTTATGTGTGTAAATGCTCTGTTTCAGACCCAGTTTTCGGCGCACAAATTGGTTTGACCCTGTGGGTCGTGAGTACAAACAGGTTATGGAAAAAGTCGGTGTGATTGACCTGTCACCATTTGGCAAGTTTAAAGTAAAAGGCACAGATTCTGTTAAGCTGCTGGATCATCTATTTGCAAATGTTGTTCCAAAGGTAAATGGGACAGTGATAACTGTTTTAATGTAGGATTTTGACAAACAAGATCTGTTTCAGAAATGGAAAATGAAACATAATATTATTGCTGTATCTTTCAGATACCAAACACTCACATACTTTGGAGAAATTGCTGTGTGAGGAGATGTTTTTCACTTGGTTAAGAGCACAAATAGTGGAGTTTATATTAAAGCAGTCCCAAGTAGAAGTACCTTTTGGCACAGATCATTGAATCATAGAATGGTTGAGGTTGGAAGGGACCTCTGGAGGTCATCTTGTCCAACACCCTGCTCAAGTAGGTCACCTGGAACTCGTTGCCTAGGACTATGTCCAGATGGCTTTTGGGTATCTCCAAGGATGGAGAATCCACCAGCTTTCTGGGCAACCTGTTTCTGTGCCTAACCACCTCTACAGTAAAAAAGTGTTTCCTTATGTTCAGGCAGAACCTCCTGTGTTTCAAATCTTTGTCTGAAGAGGTCCAAGTGAATCTCACCTGGAATTCTTTTACAGTAGTAAATAGTAGAATAGCTTGGCAGCTGCCTGCTTAAAACTGTGCTGTACTGTGGCAGCTTCAGGCAGCAGAGCAGAGCAGTGGAAGGTGCTCTTGCCTGACCATAGCTGGATGTTGTATTCTTCCTGGATGCCCAAGGAAACATTTTGTTTGTTTGTTTTGGTTTGGGGTTTTTTTTGGTTTTTGGGGGGGGGGATGGTGTGTTATTTGGGGTTTGGGGGGGGTGTTGTTGTTTTGGTTTTGGTTGGGTTTGGTTTTTTTTTCAAATGTGACCCATGCTTGTTTTCCACCCCCTCATAATGACTCTGTTTTACAGCTGGCTGCCTGGAGCAGGCAGGGTTGCAAATAATTAGGATATTCAGCTTTCAGCTCACACCTGTCCTTTCTCCACATGTGTGGCTTCTCACAGATCCTCAGAATATGATCCTGTTTTCAAAAATGGCATACTGTGACAAACTACCCCTGATTTCTTATTCTTGATCTTCAGTTTATGGTACTGCTCCATGAGTCCCTTTATCTTCCTGCTTTGTCAACCACCCTCATGTAGTGTCTTTAACTTCAGAGATACACCTCCAGCAAGCAGATTGTTCCGTTCTGAAGTGCTACAGACACAGGGTTTGCTCATTTCAGCACAGGCTTTCATTAAGTTTTTGCTGTAGGTGATGGTTTTAGCTGCTTCAGACACCAGAGGGAGGGAGCATAGGAAAACAGTAAGTACACTGAGACTATAGTTATGAAGGTAAATAACTTCTCAGAGGTCAGAGCCAACTGAATAGGAAGGCTGTATGCAAGAATGGTATCCTATTGGTTTAGGAGAACGAAAAACCTGAATTACCATGTAGTCTTTTTTTTTTTTTTAATGTATTAATTTTGTGATAGCAATATAGATTAAAAGTTTGTCTTCCTTCTAGCTTGGTGTAGAGGTGGGGTAACTGTGTCATTAGGGGGCATGGATAACACTTGCTGAATATATATTTATGTGGTAGAGGGAAAGCAAGATTAAACAAGAAATTATGAGAACAAAGTGAGTGCTCTTTATGGAGTTCAATCAGTGTTGCTAAGGGGAAAAAGAAAGCTTATGAATCCACTTAAAAACCCAGCATTCACAACAGTTGGTTATTTAAGCTGTCTGATTTTTGGTACCATTCATGCTTGTCTGCATTATAAAATAATTCAGTGAAGTTTCTGGAGATATACTTGTATCACAACCAGGTCGACTGTGACTAGCATCAGAGCCTGAAAATTCAACTATGTGCCTGTAATATCCCAGTAACTATATTAATGTAATATGACCTTGCAAAAGAATGTTAATACTTGCAATATTTGTCCTTTTTCCATTCGTTGTCTGGAATCTGGACTGATTGACAAGGTTCTTATGAAAGCAGAACAAAATAAGAGAGACTAAATTCTGCCTCTGGAACCAGACCAGCACAACAGCTATGGCACATTCATACTTCTGTTTCTATGGATAATATCTATATGAACATGTATATGTTTTATGGTTACAGCTAGGTAACTGTTACTTGAAATTTTGCCTCTAGAGATCACATTTTTACACAGAACCTGATTCAAAGGTACAGAGATGTAGATTGATAGTCAGCAACTATATAAAATATAAAAGCATACATAAATCAGGGCCACAAAAGCATGAGCCAACTTGGTATTTATTTCCTTAAAGTAAGGGGCAAAGTATATGTTATCCTTTTGGGATCTGAAAGCCTTATTTACATGATTGAAAAAGAATATTTATGTCAATAACATATGTAGAATTTTTTATTCTGATGCTCAGAGAACAAACTAAAATTGATTGAATTTGCACTGAAAATGCATTCCTAAATCAAAGGTTGCTTAAGAATGCCTTGTCTAATACACAATTAAATATTTATAAAGGTCTTGATTTACATTATCTTTGAAAATTTCAATTTTTTTCTACAAAAAGCTTAAGTTTGGCCAATTGTGTATCTGTCCACTCCTATTACAGCACAGCAGAACAAACATAAATATTTTTTTTTTCTAGTGAAGATATATTTCCATACATTTCATAAAGTTCAAGAATTCAAAAGGTTTTTTTTGCATTCTTAATAATTGCAAATTTTACTCTGTAGGTGGGTTCCACAAATATAAGCCATATGTTAACACCGAGAGGAAAAGTTTATGCTGAGCTAACAGTCTCTCAACTGTATCCTAGAGAATTTATGCTTGTAACTGGCTCGGGGTCAGAACTCCATGATCTGAGGTTAGTTTATTTTTGATACAGTAAGTACATAGTGATATACAGTGACATTAATATAGAAACCTTTTTACTAAGTGCCAAATTCTTAATTATTACTCAACAAACCTTTCAATAAGTTCACGAGAATTCTACTTATTTATTGATTGTGGTTTCTTAGAAATGTGGTTGACTTGAATCCTGAAGTATAAGCAGTTGCATATTGGATTATTGCTGATGTAAAGAGATGGAGAATTTACTGATAGTTATGCAATATACTTTAATGGAGGTAGTTCCTGTTTTGTTGTTGACCCTGTTTGTGTTTGGCATTGCATGATGGAACACAGCACGGTTGTTCTTTTCTAGTGTTTTGTCTTGCGCAAAGAAGAAAATTGGCTTTAAACATGGATGACCCCAGAGGCACTGACCTGGCCAATACAGATGGGTAGTGCATTCTTCCTGACACTGTGATAATGTCTTCTGGTTTGGGCTCTGGCATCACAAAGCAAAACAACGGAAAGAAAGAAAGTAGAAGCAGTTGCAGGATTACTTCATTAAAATGCTTTTCTAGATGAGCATTGGAAGTGACATTTCTAGTGCTATTAGTGGCTGTACATACATACTGAGGAAAATATTTTTTATTACTGGAGATTGCTGACAAATCAGTTATTCAAAATGAATCAACACATAAAAGACTGAAATTTGCTACCCCAATGCGCAATGAATAATGTACTGTTTTATTATAGTCCCATGGGAATCAGTAGGACCATTGTCACATTCGGGAACCAAATGGCAGAACCAGATCTAATGCATTTACTTCTACAAAATTTGTACAGTCCTGTTTGGTACTCCCCTGTGCCTGAGATCTTTTAACACTGCTTAACAAAGTAGTACTTCATAAGATTTTTAAAATACATTCATTTCATTTATTTTGTGAGCTTCCTGAAAGACAATACGCAGCTGATGGTTTTGATTAAATCAAAACTGAACTTCCTGCCAATACTTTAAATACTGTATTCAGGAAGAAAGAAACCTGGTTGTACATTTCTGTTGACACAGGAATTTATTTGGAGATTTCTTATGGTCATTGTGTTTATTGCTTACTCTTGCTGTATGTTGACTTTTTATTAACACAGTCTGTATCCAAAGGCAAATCTGTGTTCAGTCCTGTGAGATAACTTCTTTCTCTTATCTTGCAAATACTGTTCCACCCATTTAAATTCTCCCCTTTCCTGGTTGAATCCCAGATGCTTGTGTTCCTATATCAGTATCTCATCAGAAAACACTGTTTAGCCTCAATGATGGATTTGACTGTATAATGTGGCACATACTTCATTGGTTTTGCAAAGGTGTGGGACTGGCAGCTGCTGGGAAGATAAGCACTAACAAAAAATTATTCCTTTTTAAATTTTATGTAAATCAGTTATTTTTCATTTAAAAAAAAACAATGTTGTGTTTTATGTGCAGATGGATAGAAGACAAGGTAATGAGAGGTGGATACAAAGTTGAAATAGAAAACATGACAGATGAGATGGGAGTACTTGGTGTAGCGGGTCCGTATGCACGACAGGTCCTCCAGAAGTTGACAAATGAGGATCTGAGTGATGGTTCATTTAAGTTTCTCCAGTCTAGACATCTGAAACTTTCTGATATTACTGTTACTGCCATTAGGATATCATACACAGGTAAGCAGTAGAGAAAACAGACTCTTATGGAAAGAGACAATGAAAAAAATAATAAGTGTAATTAAAAGTATGTTGAAAAATAAATCTCATCATGTATTCATAAGCAATGGGTTCATTAAATTTTATATATAAATGTGTGAGGAAACACAGTACATTGATTTTAAAATGTGATATGGTCAGGGTCTGTGCCGAATTTTCCAAGACCTTTTTCTCTAGAATACCCTATAGTGTAAATATTTATTTTACAGAACAAAAGGCCAGTTCTGATAACCTCTGTGGTATTTGCTGCAAAACCAACGTCAAGAATTGTTTTTGGATTACCGTATATTAGTGTTTGTCATGTGCCTTAAAAATGTAACACTGTACAGCTGAGTATTTGTTTTTCTCGGTTACTTTTTATTTCTTTTTATGTTCATCTCTACTGCAATAGGCTGAATTCAGAACATTCTAACGCAGCTGAAGTCCTTGTAATTCATATTCTCTTTCTATTGCACTAAATATGATACAACACACTAATTTTATGCTTATTTACACTCAGTTACATTTGCTGTTCATTTGCGAAGTCGTCATCTGTTTATAATGCCTTGAAGTTCCAATGAGAGATGAAGCTTAATTACATAACCTTGTCTTATCAGTTATTCTGATTCGCCCCCCCCCGATTTCATTTAACAGTTTAAATTAGACTAATAGTACCACTGCTTAAGAGCTAGGGCATAGATCCTCTGGTGGTTCTTGCAGGGAATTAGACTTGCTATATGATAGCAGAATTGACCCTAGAATGTGAATTAACACTTACAGCACTGATCTCCACTTTTTACCAAGGGTAGGACTGTATTTATCAGGATTGTTTCATTGTTGAGCTGATGAAACCATTAATCTTGTTTGTATAACAGGTGAATTGGGCTGGGAGCTCTATCATAGAAAAGAAGATTCTGTAGCTCTTTACAGTGCAATCATGGAAGCTGGCCAAAAAGAGGGAATTGACAACTTTGGAACATATGCTCTGAATGCTTTAAGGCTGGAAAAGGGTTTCCGAGCCTGGGGGGCAGAGGTCAGGAAATATAAGTTCTTTATTATTGTTTCTGGTTGGTTTTGTGGTTGGTTTTTGGGGGGTTTTTTTGGTTTTTTTGTTTTTGTTTTTGTTTTTTTAATTTCATTATGACTATACAGCTTTTAGACAGAGTTAGCACAGTTTCTCAATTTAGCATGAAAAGAAAATTTACCTTGAGCAGGAAAACCTGCTATAATTCTGAACAGTGTGTTTTCTAAATAAAAATAACTAGTATACCCCATTGCGCTGCTGGCAAGGAGACACTTATTTTGATTCACTGATGTTTTTCCCTCTTGTGTGTAACAAAATTATGAGGATTTTGCTGAGCTCTAGTGTTTTGAAATCAAAGGTTTGGCTGAGAGATTCTGAGAATGTTTTATTTCTGTAATAACTATGTCATGAGAGGCCAATTATTCTTGCTTCATAATGTATTTGGAACCTTTTCATTTCCTGTTAGCTTGTTTCTGCTGAACTTACTCACTTACAATAAAGAACTACTAAGGATGCCTAGAGAATTTGGGGAAAACCAGTATAATTTCCACTTACCTGAAATTTTTCCTAATTCCTTTGGAAATGAAAGATCTCAAGAAGATTAAATGGTGGGCATTTAGGGGTCCTTTTTGTTTGCCCTGTGATAATTATTTTCATTCTTGCTTCAAATGCTGCCAAACAAATCATTCTCCCTACAACTAATGGGAAGGTAGTGAATAAAATTAGCTTTGTGTTTTGTTTTCCTCTCCAGCTAAGACATTCTGCTGTGTTGCAATTAATGTGTATACCCCAGTTATTCAATCTTTTGCAGGTTCCATTCTGCTTTGACAAAAAATCCTGTTTCTTACTGAAATGCATGTTTACTTTGCATATCAAAACTTAGATGAATGTTTTACATATTTATATTAGGCACAATAGTAAATATTCTCTTGAAATCACATATTGGAAGCTTACAGTGTATTCAAATGGAAGTTGCACATATGCAACGTGAAAGACACTGACTCAGGAGTAAATACAAAGATGCATAGAATGAATAAATAACCCCTCCCAACCCAAAAGCTATGATGGTCCATCATGTACGGATGGTGAATTTATATTTTTTAACAGATGAACTGTGACACTAATCCCTTGGAAGCTGGACTGGAATACTTTGTAAAGATAAACAAGGTATGTCTTACTATTTTCCAAGTGTTCTATTATGTCCAAGGTTATTCATTTAAGTGTTTGGAAAGAAAAATGTGATTATCTGTAAAATAAAATAGGTTTAGAAAATGAACCGAGCAACTATAAGAATAATGATAAGAATAATTACTTCATAAGTACTGATTTCTTTAAAATATGGTTTTGTATTTTTGCATGTTTCTTGCTAACAAAATTATACATTAGATCAGGAAGCTGCAAATACTGAATGTTGTCTACATGAAAAATAACTCTTTGTGATTTATTTTCATAGAGAAATTTGATTAATCTCCCTTTGTAAGCATATAGTATCTATATACAAGCTGAACAAGCCTATTCATATTGTGAAAATATTTTACCTGCTTATTCTTGTTAAGGGAGATGTCTGTAGGGTCATTTTCCCTGGCTACAACTCTAGTACAGCAATTACTGAAAAAAACAATAGATTTTTTAGAAGAACTGCTGACTGACAACTTAGATATGTCATATATAAGTTAAATTAATATATTGGTTAAAAAAATAATTAGTTGTTCATAGGATTTCTGAAGAAGTCCTCTGCTCATAACTTGTTCCTGCCTGATCTGAAGTTTAGAGAATGGGCCTAATTGAATTAAAATGGGCAGTAAAAAGGCAAAGATGTTACTCTGTCTCCTTTTATTAGCACCTTCATTTTCATGTATTAATATTTTAGCAAATCAAACTCTTTTATAGTCTAATAGATACAGAAATTGGTTGTAATTCTCTTTTCTGGTCCAAATGAATCCCAAACAAAATGTCCAAACTCTTGTCAAATTGAGGACCTTTCCATGAAACCTGGTGAAATTGTTTCCTGTGCAGCTCTAATGCCATCTGTTGCTACCAGTTAGCCCATCAACATGAAGAGCAGTTACCTGCACAGTGGATGTGAAGTTTCTAATTTAAGAAATCAGGTCCTAGACATTTGAAGTTAGGTGCCCTAACTGAGGGGCTGTTTCTGACTTAATCTTTTGCCTCAGTTTTTTCATCTGTAAAATAAAGTGCCAACATTTTTACACAAGGGAGGTCAAGAAGAAAAATTAATGTTTGTGAAACATCTTATCTTTACAATGATGTAATGCGATATAGGGACAAACTCTGTTCTTATTTATGTTCCCATTATACCTGAAATTGTGATAAATCAGATAATAAATGACCCTTGATATTTTTGCCATGTTATGTGGCGACACTGTGGAACTGATAAAAGGAATCCCAAACTTTAAGTTACAGCTCCAAATAAACAACAAATCTTAAATTTTGGGTAGGCAAGAATTATGAAGGCATGTTAAACCTAAAAAAGGTTCTTTTATCTTTGTGAGAAAATTTCACCCACCACAACAGGGACAAGCCCAGGAAGATGCTTTTCTTCTCCAACTATTGAACCTGTCTATAGATGTTAAAGTTATTCAACCTATGCAGGATTGAGGCTGCTCCCAGGTGCTCCCAGGGTTGTCAATGGCAGCTCCTACAGGTAGCAGAGTTACAGATGTCTCCATTGGGCAGTGTAATTTTGCCCTAATCAGAGTAAGTGTCCTGGTTTCAGCTGGGATGTAGTTAACTGTCTTCCTAGTAGCTGGTACAGTGCTATGTTTTGAGTTCAGGATGTGAAGAATGTTGATAACACTGATGTTTTCAGTTGTTGCTCAGTAGTGTTTAGACTACAGTCAAGGATTTTTCAGCTTCTCATGCCCAGCCAGGGCACCTGACCCAAACTGGCCAACAGTGTATTCCATACCATGTGACGTCCCATCTAGTTTAGGAACTGGGAAGTGGGGGCGGGGGGGGATTCGCCACTTGGGGACTGGCTGGGTGTTGGTCGGCGGGTGGTGAGCAATTGCCCTGCGCATCATTTGTACATTTCAATCCTTTTATTACTACTGTTGTCATTTTATTAGTGTTATCATTATCATTATTAGTCTCTTCTTTTCTGTTCTATTAAATCGTTCTTATCTCAACCCAGGAGTTTTACTTCTTTTCCTGATTTTCTCCCCCATCCCACTGGATGGGGGGGGAGTGAGTGAGCGGCTGCGTGGTGCTTAGTTGCTGGCTGGGGTTAAACCACGACAGTAAGTGACACATGCAAGGGAAATACAGAATCTTATAGAACAGGATTATTTTGTATTTACTCATCAAGGACTTTCCCATCTTGAGAAGAACATTAGCAGGATTACAGGGAAATGCAATAAAAAATAATGTTACTATTAATAGTTTTTCTTTCCACTGCTATTTGACACATCTGTTTGTTGTTTGGGGTTGGTTGGTTTGTTTGTTTTAGTATAAGCAGGAAAGCAGCCATAAGCAGGGCAAGTGTTGCTTGCCAAGATGCCCATGCAAAGTATATGAAGGCATTAATGTGCATGAAGCACTTGATTATTGCTCTACACACTTGTCCGCATGGTTGAAATGCAGGGTTGGAATGGTTCTCTGGAGCAGATACTGACGTTGTAGATGAATGAGCGTGGAATGGATCTCCAGCATAGATGCAGGATGTCAGCCTAATACATTTGCCAGTTTTGCTGAACTGGTGTGAAAAAGGAAATAATCAGTGTTTATTTATTGACTCAAATGAGGGCAGTTGTGACTGTATGTTGACACTGCAGAGGTTCATGAGCAAACTCAGATATTGGAAGTGGTCTAAACACTGTAGCATGAAGCACAATGTGAGATTATTTACTCTGCTTCTTGGCAGTTTGGGGCTGTGAGTCCCAATTCCATGCCTCTGGTTTTGCTGTCCGTTTGGTGTGGCATAGACCTTAGCATTCCTTATAGGCCACTGTGGCTGAAGACAAGCAAAATACTCAGTTACCGTCTGTTCCTATTGTTAAGGAAACTTTCCTCCCAAAAGGGGCAAACAAGATAAAGCCTACAAACAATAGATACTTAAATATTTCTTTTTGACATCTTGGTCTGTTGGGTTCCTCACAAGGATTATTCCTTTAAGCATGCACCCCCAACTGGGGCAAGTGCTGATTCTGTGTAAATTAGAACCAAAATGCACTGTTCAATTAATTACTAGAGCACTTCTTACTGTGCAACAAGCAGCTGAAATAGCTTACAAAATGGGCAAAAAACTTCAGCATAAGCAAACCTTGAGTGGTATGTCATGGAAAATTTGAGCAGTTTCTAAACAAATTAAAGTGAATGAAAAACCAAATGCCAGTGAAGGTAATACAACCAAAAAGCATTTTCATTTCCATTAGAGGACATTTAAATAGTTGGGGAATAAGTATGAAGATACATAAATTCCCAATAAAATCCTGATATTTCTCTGTGTTTACAAAGTTTAGTGTACGCATTGTCTTCAGGTACATACAGACTAGTAATTTTTTTGTGATGAGTAACAGGGAAAACTCTTAAAAGCTTAAGTTGATTTTTTTTTTTCCTCACAGTCTATTAAATTATAGCATGACAATAAGTAAACCTGTTTCCTCAGGATTTCTGTGGCAACTTTCATTTTATCAGTAAGGCTGAAGACATGGTATCGCTGTAGGTGGTTTCCTCCAGACTTGGCTTGATACTCCTTTTTTCTCTAATACTGATGTTAGTTGCTTCCTTGCACAGATGAGCAGGATGGGCTGTGATTAAACTGAAGTGGAGGGACAGTAACAGGATTAATTTCTAATTTAGAGTATACGATGTCTTCATAACTTCACAACAAAATCTGTCCATTTTAGGGGTGGGACTTTTTTTAATACCTGTTGTCTTTCTTTTGGTAGTTCAATTACATTTAGTAAGCTAGATAAGTTGTTAGATAGCCTCATCTCATGAATAAGCTACTAAATATTTGATAAGAGTCCTAATAGGTTTTGTGGCAGGAAATCACAGAATATCTTTAAAGAAGAAAAAGTTGCAATTCTTTTTGCTCCACATCCCAGAATGTTGTTTTAGTTCTGCCACACATTTGTACTTTCTCAGGTTCAAGTGGTCAAAGATATAGTATATCACCTCTGAATGCTTTTTATTTTTCAAACCCCTGTTTAAACTTCATGGATTTTTCAGATACTGTCATAGAAAAAGATAAGCAATCACCAGATGTTAGTTTACTCCAGACCTTTGTTCTATGGCAGAATCAACTACACCTGTGTTTACCTTGCCGTATGTTTAAAAATTTCATATGTGAAATTACAAAGACCTCTTGTCAGTCTTGAAGATCCCACAGTCACCCTGGGAAGCCTCTTCTGGTGATTTGCTATCCTTATGTTAGAAAATGTTTTCTTGCTACACTTTAAACTTATGACATTATTATGTTCACTATGGACATGCAAAAAAAAAATTTCCTTATTTCAGAAGCTGTCTACATCTTCAAGAACCTGCTAGCATGTGTCCTTTTGTTCTTCTGAAGTGGTTGATTATTTTTAATTAATTCAATATTCTTAAAACAGCCTATTTTTCTCTGAGTGTAATGGACCAGAAGTCCCAATAAAGCCTTCGTGTCAATTTGAGTAGCTCACAGAAATGAACATGTGAATCCAATAGTGCCAACAGGCATCAAGAGCGTACAGCTACACAAGTCCGTACTTGTTTGCAGGTTTGTGACTTGTTTTCCTATATCCAAGACTGCCACCTCCTGGTCACTCCCTCTGCAGCAACAGTTCACTGCGATTTGGGAGAATGCGGTAGATGATGGAAACCCTTTGGAACTCTACTTTAGTGCCCTCTTCCAGGCAAGCATCTGAATGCTTGGCTAAGATTTCGTGTTTGTTTCCAGTAGGAGGAAATACCGTTTTCAGAGGCAGTGTTTCTTTGTTGCAGCCCTGTTTATTTACTGGGGCAGTTTCTTTGTTCTCCATTCCAAGCTTCTTTCCAGATTTTACAATACCTAGAATCTCTCACTTTTTCTTAGATCTACTCTACCAGCTCTTTTCTTTTTTCTTTTCCTTTCCTTTCCTTTTTTTCCTTTCCTTTCCTTTTTTCCTTTCCTTTCCTTTTTTCCTTTCCTTTCCTTTTTTCCTTTCCTTTTTTCCTTTCCTTTT